TACAACTGCCATTAATAAATTGATAAATCGATGACTTTTTCTTAATTTGTTTCCCACCCAAATGTGTTATGATTATTCAGTGTTTATGGTTGTAATACGATTCAAGTGCTTCGAAAGCTACAGTTGAGTAAGTATATTTTTTTTTTACAAATAAATAAGTGTAAGTATGTTTGCTTAAGTGCATTTGTTTCAGATAAACATTCTTCATTTATTAGATTAAAAACTTAAGATTTTAATAACATTATTTTTACTGATTTTAGTTACTAATACAATTAGTAATATGTTCATATTTAATACTAAATCTAAAGATTATAGTGAATGAAAATGTGAAAAAATTGACTTTTTTTTTAATATCTTAAGAGATTTATCAATTTTTTTAATATATTAAACAAATTTTATGGTATTTCCAATTGATATTGTTAATAATTCAATGTGTAAATCAAAGATACATTTATTAGTAATAAAATGTGATTATTTGTTAATTTATTAATAAAAATAAAATCAAATAATTGAGTTTTTTTTTGTGTATTTTCAAGTATTTTTTGTCGTTTGTTGTTGATGATGTTGAGTAATGCAATTACTATAATACGTTTACAATATATACAAATGGTACTTTACGGCGGAACTTGAACTATATGACTATAAATGTAAACTCAGTGAGAAAACATCTTTTTCTTTAGCGCTCTTACACATTTGTAGAATTCAATTAAAAAATATTATCAGAACACTTTGGGACCCTAACTGATATTATTGACTATACAGTTCGATTCGTCTGCATCCTCGCACACGAATCATTCACATAATCACCTATCTACGTATACTTATACACTTGATTATTTACAAAACAAAAGCTGCGGTCATTACATTTGTTCCTAACAATAATATATTTAAAAAAAAACAGAACAAAAAAAAAACACTATCACAGTTCATTCAGTTTCAAGTTTTTTTTTAAACAATTGAAAAGAAAACGCACCGAAAACAAGAGAAACTGAGCCCGTGTGACATTATCACAGTTTCGATACTTACGGTAGCTATGGAAACAAGTGTTATTTAATGTTTGTGCTGTCATCGCTGCGTCAAATTTGTTGTTGCTGTCATCACTGTGTTGTTGCGCAATTGAACTAATTAATTAAACTAAACGAACTAGAAAAAAAAATTATGAAAATCGGAAGGAACGATGTGAAGTATAAACTAAGTACCATTTGGATCACTAAATTAAGTAGGATTTTGGAATCGCGAAAGGAAAGTTAAGTGTTTTTTTTTTATTGTTGTTGTTAAGTTTTGTTGTTTAACTGCTTAAGTCACTATCCTAGTCCCACGTCGAGCGTCATCATGACGAGGAAACCTAGGATCGCGCCCCATGTTGCCAACTTTCCGTTACCGCTGCAACAACGAAACAAAACAAAAATTACTAACTGTCAAATTTAGTTCTGAAAACAAACAAAAATAATAATAATAATAATAATAATAACACAACAGATGTCGCCACAAAATAATTGGATGTTAAACGATTTAGATTCGAAGTGAAATTTAATTTCGTTTCCTTATTTCTCCATTTAATATTCATTTAAAGTGGTTAATTTAAATTGAGAACTTTTACTTTGAATCATTAGATCAAATATTAGTTCGTAATTAGATAAATATGAGAGTAACTGTGCAAAAAATGTATTGAAACGAAACAGGAAATTGTAATAACAAAAAAAAATTGTTATAATTTCCAGTTTCTCCAATTCCGATTTTGTAATAAGTTAATTAAAGCAATTACTACTATCTCTTTAAAGAAATTTGTCATCGAAATTCTAAAGAAAATTGTGATTGAGACTGTGTGTTTTTTTTTTGCTTCGATATACAAACAAGTTGATGGACGTTAATAATCTCCTGCTGATGTTAATGTTGCTGATGCTGTGTTTGCAGGATTAAAGTCCGCATAGGAATAAACAAATGGAGAAACGATGCATGTTGTAGAAACACGAATGAAAGAAATTCCAAGCTGTATTTTGATGTTGATGTTGATGATGAGTCACAACAGCAGTAGCTTCTTGCTCAATGAATCAGGCAATTTATTAATAAGTTTTATCATTGGATCATTGAAGACTTCCACGAAGGTCCACTTATTACTCGCGGATTCGAATTAATCCGTGCGCCGCGTTATAAATTTATACATTTTCTTTCTTCGCTTTTTCTGCTTCATTCGATAATTTATTAGATAAATATTGATTTATTTCACAAGAATTCAGTAGGATAATTGCAACTTTGTTGTTGCTTCTTGTTACGTAAATCAATTTACCTGCTTTCTGTGTATATATTTGTTTTTGTTTTTTTTTGCTCTTCTATTGTTTCAAGAATTTGCAAACAAATGACATCTTCATACTTTATTCATCAAGTTTTCACCTTGAGATTATATAATTTTTTGGTAATTCATTACTTAATTTATTTTTCATTTCTTATTCCATGAAAAGACATTTCTAATATCATCTAATATCATAATTTCATTGGAAATAAATGAAATGTTGGTGTAGTTTAGTCCAATTTTTTGTGATTTTTCTAACTATTTTTGTTTAATTTTATTTTACTTTCAGCACAAATTGTTCATTAATTAATTGTTACGTAAATCAATTTACCTGCTTTTAGTGTATATATTTGTTTTTGTTTTTTTTTCTCTTCTATTGTTTCAAGAATTTGCAAACAAATGACATCTTCATACTTTATTCATCAAGTTTTCACCTTGAGATTATATAATTTTTGGTAATTCATTACTTAATTTATTTTTCATTTCAAATTCCATGAAAGTCATAAAGACATTTGTCTAATATCACAATTTGATAAGTATTTGGAAATAAATGAAATGTTGATGTAGTTTAGTCCAATTTTTTGTGATTTTTTCTTTGTGTAATTTGTGATTATTTTTAGGAAAAAACTTAATTTATTATTTCATAAAAGTATTTTGTTAATAAATTTGCTAAAATTTTCCTAGTTTATTCATTATTTTTTTGGAAATTTCTGTTTAATTTCTTTGGTTTTTCTTATAACTAATTTGTTTATAAATTTTACTAGAATTTACCTACAAATCTTCATAGATTATTCGTCAAGTTTAACTTAATAAATGTTCTTAATACGAAATAATATTTAACTTTTCAATTGATTAGAACAATTTTTTAAATGAAGACATTTTCATTCATTTCATTTCACCAAAAAACTTTAAATTTTTAGAAGAAAAAGAAAACGTTAATATTTCTATTACTTACATGAATTACAACAACTTTCATTCTTAAATTTCATCAACAAAAGCTTAAATTTTCAGAAAAATAACTCATTTATTTGAGAAATTTATTTGTTCAATTTCATTTTACTTTCATTCTCTAGCAAATCCTCTCAAATCTACAATACCTTAAGTCAGCAAAGCTTAAGAAACACTTTTTCAAGAAAATCCATGAGTAACAATACTTTACTTTCAAAAGTTATTACCGGTATCAATTAGGTTTTCTAATTTCCTTAACTTGAAACATTTCTTAAAGATTGTGTAATCTAGTAAATTATCTCATATCTACTGTGTTTAGAATTAGTAAGGATCAGCAACCCTTTGTCAATTACATAAAAATTATATTAACTTAATCATAAAAAAGTAACTAAATCAAATTTTTCAAAATTTTTCATTAACTTTCCTAATGATATGATATTGTCAAAACATTAAATGCAAAATTCAAGTAAATAATTGATGTAAAACGTATTCAAATTCTTCCACTCGGACACAATAAGAAATCTGAACTCATGCCAAAACGATTTCAAAGAAACCATTAACACTTAATATAAACGCGACGGCTTAATTTATTTTAACGCAGTCGTGAATTACGTCGAATTATCTAACACTGCACAAGAATGCTATGCGAAACAAAAAAGGAACGAAAACAAAAAATAGTTTCTTTCTTATATATACTGTATACGTCTTTTGTTTTTTTTGTTCTTGTTGTTGTTGTTGTTCGTATAGGGATAGGACACAGTGCGTGGTTCTAAACAATGAACGGTTGCCTTCCTGCACGTAATTAGCCTGTAAATTCGAGTAAATTAATATGATCGCGCCGTTTTCGGGTTACGTAATATTATCCCACCATGATATTAACAATTAAGGAGGCGTCGACGTTTTTTTTTTCTTCATTTTTTTTCTCGTTTCTTTTGTTTCATCGTTTTCATTCAAGAGTCACCGTAATGACATTATTTAAGGAATGCTCGTGTCGTTGCGACTACTACGATCATGATATAATGACCCGCTCTTCATACCATCACCAACAACAGCAACAACAAGAACAATAATAACATGTAATAATGATGTGCGGAGGTGGGCTTCTCTTATCCTCCTCGTTCTTCTTCTGCCCTTGTCGTAATCGTAGCCTTCTCTTTCGCATTTTAAATTAGATGCCTTTTAATAAGCCTCATTATAATATTCATAATGTATGCGTATGCTCGAATTCGTAATTACATATTCATACGAAAATGAATTACATCCGTTCCAAGCGATTTTTATAAAACGAAAAAGAAACGTTAAACTTCTCCAAAAGAAAACGAAACGACAAACGGAATATAAAAAATAAATTCACTAATCACAAAGATTAGTTAAACATTCATTTTATTAGTAGGATTATTTTTTTTCTTGAAATATTTTATGTATTAATTAGTAAACTGAAATATTTCGTGTTTTCTGAATGAAATTTCATTCATTGTTTACTTTTTTTTTTCATTAGAATTTGTATTTTTTTTTTACAAAATTTACTTTGTTTTTTAAAAAATATTTACCTTTTACTCCAGATTTCTCGTTTATTACGATGAAATCATTATTTATTATAATTGCAGTTATATTTGTTTATAATTAATTTCAAATAATTCAACGAATTTGAAATCTTTTCATTTTTCATTAAAGTATTACAATTTATTTCAATGTATATAATTTCTCAATTCCAATTGCACAAAATTTCGAAGATTTATATAAATCCACACATAAAATGTACAAATTTCGAAATTGACCAATAAATTATTTACAATTTCGATAGTTTTGTATATTTATATCAAATTTCAAGTAAAATTAAGAAATATGATTTTAAGATCTCAAATTTTGTTAAAATTTGTAGAATTATATAAAAATTTATCAATGAATAAAAAATGATGTCTTTTAAGTTAGGTTTTGAGTCGTTCTAACATATTTTTTCTCGTTCAATGAAATGAAATCACAAACTGTTATAACTTAGTCATTTTTCAAGGTAAATATCAAATTTCCAACGTAATTTCTAAGATTCAATGGAATAGCTCACTTTGCTAAAAAATACTTTTACACCTTCGTCAATTACCATTTTTTTATTGGATTTTTTATATAATATTTAGATTTATACTTTTTGAAACAGTTCTGCTTATAATAATTTAAGTATAATTGATGCAAATTCTTTAATTTTCCTAGAAAAGAAATTGTATACTTTTTGAAATTTTTCATTATTTTTTTACTAATTTAAACATTCATAGAAATGTTCAGTACTTTAATAACTCTTCATTTTATATACACATATATTCTAATGAAGTTTTTTTTTGAAGTAGTTATATTTGATATTATTTGAATTCATTGAACATGAAAAAACGCAGAATATTTAAAAGAAAATCTATTAAAAAAAAATAACAAATTTGTATATTAAAGCTACGACTTTATACAAATATTTCCATAATTTGCCATAAAATTTAAGGAAATTAAGACTGAAAAATTCACAAAAAGACAAAACTTAGCTTGTGAAACATTCATAATTTAGCATACTTTTTTTAAAAGTTGAATAACAAATTTCTACTAAGCACATTTTTTCTGTTTATTTTTGTATATCAACGTGATTTCATTCTAAATTTTCAACATTATACAAATATTAATGTTATTTGCAGATTTATTATTTAGGAATTATTTAAATGATTTTATAGAAAGTTTTTTGTTTGTTTAAAAACGTAGATTTTCCAACTAAAACTTATACTTTTGATAAATATTCAATAATATATTGACCCATAGTATTACATTATTGCAGTTTTTGGTATCTGCTTCACTAATGTTTACTAAATCTTTACTTCTAATTGAGACGCAATAAAATTTGTCCCCGTGAATATTTGATTAATATTTAAAAAAAATTGTAATAATATGATTTTTTTCGAATCTTTTATTAATATTACACTATTTTCTTATATACATTAAAGTTTAGTTAATCTAGACTTACAGACTTTACAAACTAATGTTTATTATTGCTTTAATATTTGTCTTTCGAATGCTGCCACACATTGTTGCATATTGTGTATCATTACTAGGTTTTATGGACTGTATTGTTTTGACTGCATTGCAGATTGCAGTAGTATTAGCTGTAGTAATAGTA